CCTAGAGATTAACGTACTTTGGTGCGAAAAGTGCAAATCAATCCCAGAACAACAGCAAAGGACCTTGTGAAGATGCTGGAGGAAACGGGTACAAAAGTATCTATATCCACAGTAAAACGAGTCCTATATCGACATAACCTGAAAGGCCACTCAGCAAGGAAGAAGCCACTGCTCCAAAACCGCCATAAAAAGCCAGACTACGGTTTGCAACTGCACATGGGGACAAAGATTGTACTTTTTGGAGAAATGTCCTCTGGTCTGATGAAACAAAAATAGAACTGTTTGGCCATAATGACCATCGTTATGTTTGGAGGAGAAAGGGGGTTGCTCGCAAGCCGAAGAACACCATCCCAACCTTGAAGCACAGGGGTGGCAGCATCATGCTGTGGGGGGTGCTTTGCTGCAGGAGGGTCTGGTGCACTTCACAAAATACAATGGGGAAAAAAGTATTTAGTCAGCCACCAATTGTGCAAGTTCTCCCACTTAAAAAGATGAGAGAGGCCTGTAATTTCCATCATAGGTACACGTCAACTATGACAGACAAAATGAGAAAAAAAAATCCAGAAAATCACATTGTAGGATTTTTAATGAATTTATTTGCAAATTATGGTGGAAAATAAGTATTTGGTCAATAACAAAAGTTTCTCAATACTTTGTTATATACACTTTGTTGGCAATGACACAGGTCAAACGTTTTCTGTAAGTCTTCACAAGGTTTCACACACTGTTGCTGGTATTTTGGCCCATTCCTCCATGCAGATCTCCTCTAGAGCAGTGATGTTTTGGGGCTGTCGCTGGGCAACACGGACTTTCAACTCCCTCCAAAGATTTTCTATGGGGTTGAGATCTGGAGACTGGCTAGGCCACTCCAGGACCTTGAAATGCTTCTTACGAAGCCACTCCTTCGTTGCCCGGGCGGTGTGTTTGGGATCATTGTCATGCTGAAAGACCCAGCCACGTTTCATCTTCAATGCCCTTGCTGATGGAAGGAGGTTTTCACTCAAAATCTCACGATACATGGCCCCATTCATTCTTTCCTTTACACGGATCAGTCGTCCTGGTCCCTTTGCAGAAAAACAGCCCCAAAGCATGATGTTTCCACTCCCATGCTTCACAGTAGGTATGGTGTTCTTTGGATGCAACTCAGCATTCTTTGTCCTCCAAACACGACGAGTTGAGTTTTTACCAAAAGGTCATCTGACCATATCACATTCTCCCAATCCTCTTCTGGATCATCCAAATGCACTCTAGCAAACTTCAGACGGGCCTGGACATGTACTGGCTTAAGCAGGGGGACACATCTGGCACTGCATGATTTGAGTCCCTGGCGGCGTAGTGTGTTACTGATGGTAGGCTTTGTTACTTTGGTCTCAGCTCTCTGCAGGTCATTCACTAGGTCCCCCCGTGTGGTTCTGGGATTTTTGCTCACCGTTCTTGTGATCATTTTGACCCCACGGGGTGAGATCTTGCGTGGAGCCCCAGATCGAGGGAGATTATCAGTGGTCTTGTATGTCTTCCATTTCCTAATAATTGCTCCCACAGTTGATTTCTTCAAACCAAGCTGCTTACCTATTGCAGATTCAGTCTTCCCAGCCTGGTGCAGGTCTACCATTTTTTTTCTGGTGTCCTTTGACAGCTCTTTGGTCTTGGCCATAGTGGAGTTTGGAGTGTGACTGTTTGAGGTTGTGGACAGGTGTCTTTTATACTGATAACAAGTTCAAACAGGTGCCATTAATACAGGTAACGAGTGGAGGACAGAGGAGCCTCTTAAAGAAGAAGTTACAGGTCTGTGAGAGCCAGAAATCTTGCTTGTTTGTAGGTGACCAAATACTTATTTTCCACCATAATTTGCAAATAAATTCATAAAAAATCCTACAATGTGATTTTCTGGAAAAATAATTCTCAATTTGTCTGTCATAGTTGACGTGTACCTATGATGAAAATTACAGGCCTCTCTCATCTTTTTAAGTGGGAGAACTTGCACAATTGGTGGCTGACTAAATACTTTTTTCCCCCACTGTATATATAATGAATATATAATATAATGAAGCAACATCTCAAGACATCAGTCAGGAAGTTAAAGCTTGGTAGCAAATGGGTCTTCCAAATGTACAATGACTCCAAGCATACATCCAAAGTTGTGGCAAAATGGCTTAAGGACAACAAAGTCAAGGTATTGGAGAGGCCATCACAAAGCACTGACCTCAATCCTATAGAACATTTGTGGGCAGAACTGAAAAGGCGTGTGCGAGCAAGGAGGCCTACAAACCTTAGAGGAATGGGCCAAAATTCACCCAACTTATTGTGGGAAGCTTGTGGAAGGCTAACCGAAATGTTTGACCCAAGTTAAACAATTTAAAGGCAATGCTACCAAATACTAATTGAGTGTATGTAAACTTCTGACCCACTGGGAATGTGATGAAAGAAATAAAAGCTGAAATAAATAATTCTCTCTACTATTATTCTGACATTTCACATTCTATAAAATAAAGTGGTGATCCTGACCTAGGACAGGACATTTTTACTAAGTTTAAATGTCAGGAATTGTGAAAAACAGAGTTTAAATGTATTTGGTTAAGGTGTATGTAAACTTCAGACTTCAACTGTATATATGAGTGATAAAGTGTGGTCACATTTCATTTGCTTTAAACCTACCCTTTTGAATAACTTTGATAGCAGCAGTGAATCTATTTAGTTTTTAAGTGGAGCTTTCAAAAATATTTTTCATTATGGCACATTGGTAATAGTCAGTGACAAATATTATACCTAAGCAGGGCTGGGCTTTGTTAAAACCCTGGAAGGGAGACCAAAGGCTGTATCAATTCTCCAGTAGAAGGTGCTGCCCAGCCTATTGTTTTTTTTTCTGATAGTGGATATAATGTTGAAGATCTGACATTGTTTTAAAAGTACTAATTCAACATATTTATACAAGGTTAGTCTATGTTGAAATTTGGTTACCATGGTGACATAATCCTGTGGTTGAAATTTCACTCTCAAAACAACAGTTAAAGTTGATAACTTTTTTCAAATCCAATTCAATATCCATTGTATTGAGAGACTGCTGTGACTTACCCAAAATGCAGCAACCTTCACAAAGTATGATTTACATATGATTTGCGAAGCTTGGCTTTGCAGAGAATTCGGTGGTACAGCGCCAAAACGTGCTATTTATTGTTATGGAGCGCATGCCAAAATGGTCCTTAAAACGATTGTAAAGTTTAACCTGGCTGTTTGCATTACTTTAAACATTTGCACAATAGACTTACTGCATATTATTTGTAAGCCTATTGTAAGTTAGTGTGACAGTGTCAGTTAGTGCCTTGTGCGTAATTACGCACGTAGGCCTACAAGAGTTTGGGAATCGTTTTTCTATTGGGATTTTCAGAAGCTTGTATCACCGTTTTTAACTCCAGAGGTCATTCCATTATTGCACATGCTATAGCACTTGCACACTCCAAAACGAAATGTTATCAAATTATACATCTTGTTGATAATATAAACTATTGATAGGCCTGTGTGTTATTGAAAGTTTAAAATAAAGTTTCCTTTGTTCAGGCTATCATTAAATATCGTCAAGTGCCATTTATTTTAATTAAAGAATTTGACCTCTCTCTTCAAGTTCAAGATTAAACTTTATTTGTCCCAGAGGGCAATTGGTTGTGCAGAAGGTGAGCACATGAGCCAGAAAAATCACATGGATCACATGATGCTGAATGCAATGGGCTAGTACATCAATTAATGGGTTGACAGCTATCAATACAGATATACAATAAAGATTGACATTAGCAGCAACACAATGCTTGATAATGAAATGTATAAGCTGACTCAATAAAGGCAATACATTCAATCACGAGCGCCATGTAGGGATTTCACATTGTGCAAAGCTGAAAGCCCCGCCAATATCCACCTGTCGCTGGGTATCGGAAGAAAAGGGTCTGTGATGTTTTGGAAAATGTGCATACCCCGTTTGGTGTATTGGTCGAGAAAGACAGACATATGCTACTTATGAGGAGGAGGTGGGGACGAGGAGGAGGCAGTCACCAGCAAAACCACCTATTTACAATCAATGAAATGTATTTATAAAGGCCGTTTTACATCAGCAGATGTCACAAAGTGCTATACAGAAACCCAGCCCAAAACCCCAAACCGCAAGCAATGCAGATGTATATGCATGGTGGCTAGGAAAAACTCCCTACAACCACAGTCACCTCTCTCGCTCTCTCGTAGCCTACACACCTATCTCGCGCTCTCCCTCTCCCTACACACGTATCTCGCGCTCTCCCTCTCCCTACACACGTATCTCGCGCTCTCCCTCTCCCTACACACGTATCTCGCGCTCTCCCTCTCCCATCAGTAGCCTAAATCAATAGAGGGTAATCCCCGCCATGTGAGGAGTCGGCTACGGTTTGGAGGCGGGGTGTTTTTCATTAAAATCCACTGTCGGTGCTATAAAAAGGGAAGTTACAAGCCGAGTGCAACTTAAACATAGGATCGTAGCGCAAAAGGGACTGAAGTTTTAGAAGTCTGACTGAGGTTTTATACACTATAGCCTAAATATATTAGGCGTTCTGCTATTATTAGTCGGCATGAATACAGTCAAATATCTGAAAAATGCGATTGTCTGTCTTATTTTACTTCCTCGCTTCCTCGTGGCAGCGATAATTATGTGGTTTCTCGATTTTCTGTTCGTAAGGAAGAGGGTCTTCTTCAAAATGAAGGAACAAGAAGGAAATATTGTCGACCCACCATTATGTATTTCAGATTCGAATCGAATGTTCAGCTGGGAGTCACTCAAAGCCGTTTGGCATGGCCACAAACTGGACTTTTTAAAATCGGCGCACCTTGGATATGTAGCGCCGAACACTGAAGTTGTGGAGCTTCGCGATCAGAAACGCAGCCGGATTCTTAACTATGCCAAAGACAAGAGACCGCTCATTTTAAACTTTGGCAGTTGCACCTGACCACCGTTCATGACACGCTTGAAAGCGTTCCAGCGTGTCATGGAGCAATACGCGGATATCGCAGACTCTGTCGTTGTATATATAGAGGAGGCGCACCCGTCGGACGGATGGATGAGCTCTGACGCTCCCTACCAAATTCCCAAACACCGCTGTCTCGAGGACAGACTCAGTGCAGCTCAAATAATGAACCGTGAGGTCCCTGGGTGCATTGTTGTCGCAGACAGCATGGATAACTTGTCCAACGCCGCATATGGAGCGTATTTCGATAGACTTTACATACTTCAAGACGGAAAGATTGTCTACCAAGGAGGTAGAGGGCCGGAGGGCTACCGCATCTCTGAGCTGAGGGACTGGCTTGAACAATATAGACAAAGTGTTGGAAATTCAAGAAATGTCATTATTCATGTGTAGAGTTAGGGTTTGTATGCAATTTTAGACGTCAGCATTAAATAAGTTATGTCTCACAGAGCTGCATTTCATACAGTGCAACCTTTCAAGAGTTGCGGCTCCAATAAAGCGTCACACAGGGACACAAGCATTTTCACTTGTTGTTTACTAGTGTTGTTTACTAGTGATGTAGGCTGTCTAGGCCTATCCCAATGGTTGCAGAATAGCCCATTTTAGTTATAGTTATTATTTTGACACTGGACAACTGAGCATTTTATGTAATCTAGATGATCACCTGTAAGGTTTAAGTTGTGAAGGTTTATTTGTGAATACAAGTTATTCTGTGTTCCAATATTTGTCATGTTCTCTTTATCCTTATAGTGTGAATGTTTGTGTGGAGAGTGTTTGAGGAAAGCGTTTTGCCATGACCAAGTTTTTGCCAGTATTGTTGTGAAGTTCGGTTTTTAAAAGGTTCCGCACCAGAAAACCGATACTGATGTTTTAATGCTGAAAATGATGGTTGTGTGAAATATATTTTTACTTATTTTTTTATTTTGTAAATATGGTAAACTTTTTACGGAGATACTTTTTTAATAAAATGTCTTATTCTATACTCATCTGGAAAATAACATTATTTAAAACATTTCGCTCATTGCTGAAGGTGAATTCATTTAGGATGATGTGTATCGTATTCATTTGGGATGATTGATCTGCGTGGAAGTCATTTTGTAACCTAAAGTCACATTTAAAATCATGGTAAGGTAATTACGGAGTAGATAGCCTAGACTCGCGCAACAGACTCCCTCCCCAAAATCAGAAGCTGTGCGCAATAGCCTGCGGAAACGCAGTTACTACTGGGTAAACCACTAATTGCTTCCATGAAATACAGTAACCTGTGCCTGTTGAAAAAGAGACGTGTTTTTTAATCAAATTCACAGTCAGAAACTCAAACTATTAGCATCACTGGAAATGTAAATTACTATTCAATAAATAGGCCTATATATCAATGTGTCCAATAATTTACCATTTTGTACAGGAAATGTCCAAACAAAAAACATTCTTAAGAAATCTAAAAGTCTGGATATTGGGCTAAATCTAATTTGATATACATTATCTGCTAATTGAATTTTCAAACGGAGTATTTCCAATTGCAAAGCAGTTATGTTTAAGTCTCTCCTTAAATCTTTGAGCATCCCCCAGTACCACCAATAGAACAGTTTCAATTTCTTTACTGAAACTTAGGTAACACTTTACTTGAGACCCAGCGTCATAACACGTTATGACAGGGTCATAACCATGCCACAATATGTCATAACAGCTGAGATAACTTGTCATAACACATATTTAGACCAGTTTTGACATACAGTATATTGCGATATTTTGTGACTGGTTATGACACCTACATAAAACTGTAAAAACCTACCACAGGTAGTTATTTTATGGCTGGTTATGACACCTACATATGAATGTCAAAACCCACAAAACCTACCACACAAGGCAAAATACTCCATTACACCATAGCCTAAGTGTCAACAATATGTTTATGATATAAAAAACATTGACCATGTTAAATTATCATTGTAATTGCGCACACATGGCTGTCTGACATGCACCTACCCTAATGCTCTGTTGCTGATGACTGGGATGAATGCAGGAGGAGATTTCAAGAGCAGGACAAGACACTCTCTTTTTGATTGATGACTGATATAAGGGCATGTATATGATAGGCCTATCTGGCATTATGATGGTCATAATGCTTCTTGACAGTGTCATAAAGTGTATTTTCTACAAGTAAGTTCTACAGTTAAAATATGATGAACAAAACATGACTATAAACAATTCATTACAACAAAAACAAAGGATTTAAGAGAAACTTTCAAACGAAAAGAAACTTATAGGAAGGGGAAAAACAAAATTGAATAAATGTGGGTTTTGACACTCTTATGTAGGTGTCCAACAGCGATTTTAGCATGTTAAACTTGGTGGGGCAAAAAAAATAATATCTGGGATGCATGCCAGCAAAGCCACTACCCAACACAACACTAAACAATACATTAATTGCACTATAACGGTGACAAATGATGCCCACAATCTGTTAGGGCCTACATAAAGCTGTCCCAACAGCAGTCCCAACACCTTACCACTGCTACACCTGGCTATCAGCGGAGCCTTGTCTGGCAGCGAAACAGTTCATTCACTGCCTTTAAAAAAAACATAGCTGATATGGCTGAATTGCTTAAACAAATGTGGTTTCTACTGATGTACAAACAATGGTATAAGGGGACGACAAGCGGATAAGAGGCAATCCATTATTTCGATTAAGACAATGAGCGAGCCAGGACGGACGTGGTCAACATAATATTTGTTAAGCACTTTTGAAATGTACAGCGACAGAATTCAGAACATGGGCCATTCTTACAGTGTTCTCCCTGTACACCAAGTCAGAACCATAGGATAAAGAAAGGGGGCATATAAGCAGACAATGAAAGCTCTTACAATATTCGATGATTACATTTCTCAAAAACAGGTGATAGGCTACATCTCCTGGAAAGAGGAGACAGAGGGCTGTGTGACAGAGGTTTAATCCTTGATTTATGAAACCTGGGATGTATACGGAGGGTGCGGGGCAACAGAAGATGAACAGCAGAGGGGCTAAAGATCATTGAAAAGGGCTGATAAAATGGGGGGGAAGTTTGCGGGACTCTACCCGGATGGGCCCTCTTGTTCACCCGGTTCAACGTCACCATCTCCTACCGCCCGGGGTCTAAGAATGTTAAGCCGGATGCGCTTTCACGCCAGACGAAAGCGGGGAGCCGGGTCCGGTGGTGGACCGCCTGTCAACGATACCTGGAAGTGGTCTTGAGAACAGTGGACCAAGCTCTCTTCCAGGTACGCCGACAGCGGCGGACGAATATCTGGGCAGAGGATATGTTGACCTCTTCTTCTTGCTCCGGCAAGAGCGGGGGCTGATAACCCACGGAGCACTCGAAGGGCGAGAGCCCAGTGGCCGAGCAGGGAAGGGTGTTTCGGGCGTACTCCACCCACACGAGTTGCTGGCTCCAGGTGGTGGGATTGGCTGAGACAAGGCACCAAAGAGTCGTCTCCAGGTCTTGATTGGCACGCTCCGACTGGCCGTTGGAGTGGGGATGAAACCCGGAGGACAGACTGGCCGATGACCAAATGAGTGTGCAGAACGCCTTCCAGAACCGGGACGAGAACTGAGGACCACTGTCGGAAACCATGTCCACTGGAAGTCCATGGTTCTGGAAGACGTGCTGCACCATGAGCTGGGCCATCTCCTTGGCAGAAGGTAGCTTGGGAGGGGAATGAAATGGGCGGCTTTGGAATACCTGTCCACCACCGTGAGGATAGTGGTGTTTCCATCAGACGGAAGGAGACCAGTGATGAAGTCCAGGGATATACAGTGAGGGAAAAAAGTATTTGATCCCCTGCTGATTTTGTACGTTTGCCCACTGACAAATAAATGATCAGTCTATGATTTTAATGATAGGTTTATTTGACCAGTGAGAGACAGAATAACAACAAAAGAATCCAGAAAAACACATGTCAAAAATGTTACATTGATTTGCATTTTAATGTGGGAAATAAGTATTTGACCCCCTCTCAATCAGAAATATTTCTGGCTCCCAGGTGTCGTTTGTAGAGGTAAAGAGCTGAGATTAGGAGCACACTCTTAAAGGGAGTGCTCCTAATCTCAGATTGTTACCTGTATAAAAGACACCTGTCCACAGAAGCAATCAATCAATCAGATTCCAAACTCTCCACCATGGCCAAGACCAAAGACCTCTCCAAGAATGTCAGGGACAAGATTGTAGACCTACACAAGGCTGGAATGCGCTACAAGACCATCGCCAAGCAGCTTGGTGAGAAGGTGACAACAGTTGGTGCGATTATTCGCGAATGGAAGAAACACAAAATAACTGTGAAACTCCCTCTGCCTGGGGCTCCATGCAAGATCTCACCTCGTGGAGTTGCAATGATCATGAGAACGGTGAGGAATCAGCCCAGAACTACACGGGATGATCTTGTCAATGATCTCAAGGCAGCTGGGACCATAGTCACCAAGAAAACAATTGGTAGCACACTACGCTGTAAAGGACTGAAATCCTGCAGTGCCCGCAAGGTCCCCCTGCTCAAGAAAGCACATATATATGCCCGTCTGATGTTTGCCAATGAACATCTGAATGATTCAGAGGAGAACTGGGTGAAAGTGTTGTGGTCAGATGAGACCAAAATCGAGCTCTGTGGCATCAACTCAACTCGCTGTGTTTGGAGGAGGAGGAATGCTGCCTATGACCCCAAGAACACCATCCCCACCTTCAAACATGGAGGTGAAAACATTATGCTTTGGGGGTGTTTTTCTGATAAGGGGACAGGACAACTTCACCGCACCAAAGGGACGATGGACGGGGCCATGTACCGTCAAATCTTGGGTGAGAACCCCAAAACACACGGACAAGGCAACAAAGGAGTGGCTCAAGAAGAAGCACATTAAGGTCCTGGAGTGGCCTAGCCAGTCTCCAGACCTTAATCCCATAGAAAATCTGTGGAGGGAGCTGAAGGTACGAGTTGCCAAATGTCAGCCTCGAAACCTTAATGACTTGGAGAAGATCTGCAAAGTGGAGTGGCACAAAATCCCTCCTGAGATGTGTGAAACCTGGTGGCCAACTACAAGAAACGTCTAACCTCTATGATTGCCAACAAGGGTTTTGCCACCAAGTACTAAGTAATGTTTTGCAGAGGGGTCAAATACTTATTTCCCTCATTAAAATGCAAATGAATTGAAAACATTTTTGACATGCGTTTTTCTGGATTTTTGTTGTTGTTATTCTGTCTCTCACTGTTCAAATAACCCTACCATTAAAATTATAGACTGATCATGTCTTTGTCAGTGGGCAAATGTACAAAATCAGCAGGGGTCAAATACTTTTTTCCCCTCACTGTATGTGACCAGGGACGGTAAGGGACAGGAAGAGGTTTAAGGAGGCCAGCCGGAGCTTGCC